TCTCAATACTCTTCTCCAGCATCACAGCTCAAAGGCATCAATTCTCCTTCTGTCCTCCTTGGTCATTGTCCAACTCTCTGATGCATAACAAGTGATTGCAAAGACAATGTCCTGTATCAGACACACTTTAGTCTCCAGAGAGACACCATTGCTCTTTAGTACTTTGGAAAGGTCCCTAATAGCAGACTTTCCCATGGCAATGCGCCTTTTAATTTCCTGGCTACTGGGGCAATTTAATGGTACACACAAAAAATAATAAAATTTAAAAATTTTTTCTTTATTTAGAACATTAAAGAATATTTCCTTTACTTTTCAAAGAGAAGTGTGAATTGAGGGGGAGGGGTGGGTAAGGAGAAAAATGCAATAATGAATGAATGGGGGAAAATGTATTGATTTAATGAAAAACCAATAGCGTTCACTCAAATAATAATAAAAAGTCTTAAAAAGAAATCTTCTTTATTTTATAAAAAATTTTTGTTTGAGGATGGAAATTGTTTATCCATGTTTGTTCTTCCTTTTCTTTACTGCATCTTCTGTGCCTAGTGCATAAATGATTAGCATTCAATACATTTTTGTGAAGTAAGTAAATTAATTTTAATGTTCATTTCTCAGAAGTGGTAACTGAAATTTTTCAGGAGAATGCAGTTTTCTAACATCCATCAGCTTGTAAGTAACAAAATTGGAATTCGCATCTAGGCTTTCCTGACACAAAACACCAATTCTTTATTTCTGTGCCTATAGCTGGTTGGAGGAAAACTAGTGAGGCATTTCTCTATTGTGAGTATTTGTGTTGGCTTCTACAAAGTACAGTTGTTCTAGGGGTGAGAATATTAAACACAAACTAGTGTTGCTTTATTCTTATAGGGTAACATCTCCAAGTTTCCTGAAATTTGACAATGAAATGAAGCCCAAATCGTCTCCAGTCCCTGCTTGTAAGGATCATAATAGGGCAGGACAGGTACAGTATTCCAACAGAGAAGTCCTCTGACTTCTGTTTCTCAAAAAAGAGTTCTGGAAATAAGCACTCTTTATTAATTTTAATATATGGGTATGACTATAATACTCAGGACCCCAAAGTGATCCATCTAAGATCCATTCATTTGTCAAGATCTATTGGTTCCAAGAAATAAAATTGGGAATATATTTCTAATTTTTCATTGCTATTAGCATTGGAGAGTTGGACAATGAATAGGGTTGATAGAAAGAGAATTGATGCCTTTGAGCTGTGGTGCTGGAGAAGAGTGTTGAATATACCATGGACTGCTAGGAGAACAAACAGGTTTGTCCTGGAGAAGGTGAAGCCAGAATGCTCCTTGGAGTCAAGGATTTTGAAGCTTCATCTGACATACTTTGGGCATATTGCAAGAAGGGAATGGTCCTTGGAGAGGGACATCACAGGAGAGGAAGACCCTCAATGAGATGGATCGATTCTGTGACTGGAGTGGTAGCAATGAGTGTGTTTGAGACAGCAAGGTTGGCACAGGCTAGAACAGCATTTAGGGCTCTTATACATAGATTGGGTCGCTATGAGGCGCAGCACATAACAACAAGAACAGTGAACACTGAGTCATCTGCATAACACAGGTTATTGATGAGTCTCCCATTTTCCAAGATAATTTGCTCAGCATATCAATTAAACAGGTGTGGAGAGAGAATACAACCCTGACACACTCCCTTCCCAATTCCAAACCATGCAGTGCTCCCTTGCTCCATTGGCACAACACCCTCATGATCCAGGAATAGGTTCCACATGAGCACAATCAAGTGCTCTGGGACTCCTAGTCTTGTCAGTGTCAGCCACAACTTATTGTGATCCACACAGTCAAAGGCCTTTGCATAGTCAATAAAGCTGGAGTGCTCTTTAGAGGCAAGAATGATGAGGCTTCACCTCACATCCTTTGGACATGCTGCTAGAAGGTGCTATTCCTTGGAGAGGGTCATGATGGTGGAAAGGGCGGAGAGTTAGAGACGAAGAGGGAGACTATCAACTTGTTGGATTGACATGGTGACTGCTGCAATGGGCTGTTGTGTGTCAGGAAGTGTGAGGATGGCACAGGATAGAAGAGGGTTCAGATCTATTGTTCATAGTGTTGCTATGAGTCGTACTCGACTCAACAGCACCTAACAACAACAACATAAACACCGAGATCAAATAAGAGTGGAGTAAATCTTGAATATTTATCAGTCTTAGTCTTCAAAACAGAATTTTTCTAATTGTTACAATAATTGTTGTGTATTAATTTATAAGTTATGTTCTCTTATGAAGTATGTTTCTTTCTTTCTTACCTTTGGAGATTTAGTGAGAAATACTGAAGGGTGAAACTAAAGGTAAGAATTATTTTGTCCTAAAATTTGTGACTGTAGGAAATGTGCTATGTATGTTTGCAACGAATGCAAAGAAATTCTTCATCGTACTATGGTGAAGAGTGGAAAAAGAGAGAGAGAGAAGATGAGCGACTTTTACAGCAGTATCAGCTGATGAAGGAACAAGAAGCAATCTGCAGACAGCAGGTATTCTAACACCTCAATTAAAGTTTGCTCAGCATGATAAAGTAGAATGTGACTTATAAAACACTCACTTAAAATGTTCAATCATTTAGATGTACTACAACGTGTTTAATAATATACTTACTATTAGACTAAAAGTTAGGTTGTGTCCAACTTTATACTATTATTAAGCACTTCTCTTTCCCCCCTCCCCCCAATAGATAGAAAATACAGCTGCTAGAGAACAGAATCAGAAAAATGCTGCCTATAATCTTGGTGTTGCTGAAGCTATAAGAAACCACAAGAATGAGAAACCTGAATTTTATGTAAGAACACTTTTACAAATTTCAATTGCTAATGACCATCCCATCTGTGAACATTTACATTCATTCTCTGTACTACAACTTAAGTTACTTCATGAAGTAATATAGTTTAAAAGTAGGCTGTGCAAGGTTGAAACTTCCTTTGGCAAAGCAGGGATTTTCTGTCTAATATTTATCTCCACTGTTCATGTTCACAGCATAGAATCTATTAGTCACTCTAGGTCTTATTGTTTACAGTAATTCTGAACCAGAAACTGGAGCATATAGTGGAGAGTAGTTAACCAAAGTTTAGTCCCAGGAACAGTGATCAAAAGGGGAACTGAAGACTCTTCAAAATATATCTATGTACCACTAGTACTGGCATCACTGGGAACTTGCTTGAAATGATGCAGGATTAAGGCTTCCACAGTAAATTCTTACATAGCAATCTGCATTTGTAATGAGATCCCTAAGTGATTTTTGTTAATATTTGAGGATCCTTTCTTTATATCCTTTCTTTAATAATTTAGCATTTTCAACCCTTATACATCTACCTTTCGTATATTTCATCTCTCATACCACTGACATTCTAATAAAATCTGTTTTCTTTATCAATAAAATGATTCTGGTTTATTGAAGTATTTTTGGTTTGGGTGGATAGGAATAGGATGAATAATGCAATATTCCTTTTATAAAGAGGTAGGTAGTCTAGGAGAGGAGACAGATACGTAGGTAGATGACAGCATAGTATATAAATGTCATGGTAAAGATAGTTTTTATTATCTTTATCATGATAAAGATATGTTTTCTATTAAGGTGATATTTAGGTATGAGCTTTCTGTCTGTTGATTTTTAGATTAGGAGTATTACTGTCTACTTTGAGTTCCTGGCCAGATGTATCTGAATACATCTTAAACATCAACAAATTACAGAACTGTTCATTCTCCTCATAAACCTATTCTCCCAGGCTTTTCACTTAGTAAGTTCTCATCAGCAATCCAACTGAACAAACATAGATTTCTCTTTCCCCCTCTGCCACACACTAAACCTCAGGAAATCAGGTTTTTATTTAACATCCAAGATATATCCAAATATCTACTCACATTTCATCTAATTATTATTAGCTAATCCACACCATGTTAAAAGATCAAACTTCTATAATTACCCGACTTCTACCCACAATGAAATTCACTGCTTGCATTCCTTTCTCTGTGTGAAAAAGAAAACAAAATCTCCTACTGACTCAGAAAACTGAAAGGTCTAAATAATGAAATAGAGATTTGAACATAAAATTTCAAAAAGCAGCTCATGGTGGCCTTGTGGCAAGAAGCTGCACTGCAATCCCAAAGGTGAGTGGTTCGAATTCACCAGATGCTCCACTGGAGAAGAAGAGCAATCTCCTCCTGTGCCAGTCGAATCCTATTTGACACCACACACACACACACACACACACACACACACACACACACACGAACAGCTCAAGAAGACAAAGGAAAGTATTATAATAAAATGTGCATATATCTGGAGTTAAGAAGTAAAAAAGGAAGAGGATACTAGGTATTTCTCAAGCTGAATGAACAGAAGAAAAAAGTATTCAAGTCTTGTATTGCAATAAGGAAAGATTCTATAGGATAAATATTAAAGCAGGATGCATCAAAAGAAGACAGAAGGATTCACAGAGTATGAAAAAGAATTGGATAACATTGAACCATTTCAAGAAAGCAACAGATAGTAAGAAGCCAAAGGTACTAAAAGAAGAATTCCAGGATGCACTGAAGGCATTGGCAAGAAAATATGGATGCAGGGATTGATATGATGCCAATTGAGGTTTCAATAAACAGATGCAGCCTTGGACATGTTTACTTATATATGCCAAGAAATTTGGACGGTGGCTATTTGGCCACCTGACTGGAAGAGATCGTTATTTGTTCCCATTCTAAAAAGAAAAACAATGATTCACCAGAATGTAGAAATTATGGAACAATTTCATTATTATCACATACAAGTAAAATCTTGCTGATGATTATTTTTTTAAAAACCAAACACCAAAACACAAAACTGGAAAAGTACATCAACAATGAAATGCCGGAAAGTCAAGCTGGATTCAGAAGAGGCTACAGAATGAGGGATCATGCTGATGCCAGATGAATCTTACCTGAAAGTAGAGAATGGCAGAATAATGTTGGCTTGTGTTTTATTGAATGTACAAAGGTGTTTGACTGTTTGTATCATAGTAAATTGCTCTGAGAAGAATGGGAATCCCAGAATATTTGATTGTGCTAATGCAAAACCTATACTTGGACCAAGAGGCAGTTGTAAGAACAGAGCAAGGAGACATTGCCTGGTTAAAAATCAAGAAGGGGGCCCGTCAGGGATGTATTCTATCTCCCTACCTTTTCAATCTGTATGTAGAAGAGATTATCTGAGATGCTGGGCTGTACGAGGAGGAATGTGGCATCAGAATTGATAGAAGAGCCATCAACAACCTGCGTTATGCAGATGACACAACCCTGCTTGCTGAAACTGAGGAGGACCTGAAGCGCTTGCTGCAGAAGGTCAAGGACTGCAGCCTCCTATATGGATTGAAGCTCAACATCAAGAAAACGAAGATTCTCCCCACTGGGCCAATTGGCAGCATTAGTATGGATGGTGAAGAGATTGAGATAGTCAACAATTTTGTTTACTTGGATCCACAGTCAATACTCTTGGTAACAGCAGCCAGGAAATCAAGAGACAAATTGCATTGGGAAAGTCAGCTGTGAGGGACCTCTCAAGAGTACTGAAGTGCAACGACGTCAGGCTGGAGACTAAGGTGCACCTGATCCGGGCTTTGTTGTTGGTGTTGTTAAGTGCTGTCGAGTCGCAGGCGACTCATAGCGACCCTATGAAGGAGAGTCCTCGACACTTGGGTGCCTTTCATCCTCTCTCCAGGTTCATAGGGTTTCCAGAGGCAAGCTATTATGGAAGTGGATGCCACTCCTCCTTCTAAGGATCCGGGCTATAGCCTTCGCAATTAGGTGCTATGCATCAGAGAGTTGGACAGTGAATAGGGATGATAGAAAGAGAATTGATGCCTTTGAGTTGTGGTGCTGGAGAAGAGTGTTGAATATACTATGGACTGCTAGGAGAAAAAACAGGTTTGTCCTGGAGAAAGTGAAGCTGGACTGTTCCTTGGAGTCAAGGATTCTAAAGCTTTGTCTGACATACTTTGGGCATGTTGCAAGGAGGGACTGGTCCTTGGAGAGGGACATCATGTTTGGCAGAGTGGAGGTGTGGTGCAGGAGAGGAAGATCTTCGATGAGATGGTTCGATTCTGTGACTGGAGTGGTGGGAATGAGTGCGTTTGAGACGGCGAGGTCGGCACAGGATAGAATGGTGTTTGGGGCTCTTATATATAGGGTCGCTATGAGTCGCAAGCCACTTGATGGCACATAACAACAAAAAACAATATTATAGTAAATTATAGATAACATTGAGAGGAATCGGAGTTCTAGAACACTTAATTGTGTTTATGGAGAACCTGTACATTAACTAAGAAGTATTGTATTCATTTATCATACCTATTCATTTTGTAGGCCAGCAACTAGTCTGAGAAGCTGGACTACATGAAGAAGAATGTGGTATCATTACTGGAAGAAAACTCCTCAGTAACTGGCATTATGTAGATGACTAACCTTGCTGAAAGTGAAGAGGCTTTGAAGCCTTATTGAAGGAGATCAGAGAACATGGCCTCCAAAGAATATGGCCTCCAGTCTAGATTACACCTCAACATAAAGAAACAAAAATCCCCACTGGACCAATAAAAGTCATGATAAATGGAGAAATGGATGGAATTTTAAAATATGTTATTTTGTTTGTTTTTGTAATCAATATCCATAGAAGCAGCAGGCAAATCAAACAGCACATTGCATTGGCAAATTTGCTATTAAAGGCCTCTGTAAAGTGCTAAAGCGCAAGGATGTCAGTTTAAAGACTAAAGTATACATGATCCAAGCCATTATGTTTTCGGTTGCTTCATATGCATATTAAAGTTGGACAGTGAATAAAGAAAATAGAAGAACAGAAGCCTTTGAATATTGGTGAATATTGCATACACTACATTGTTGTTATGTGCCATTGAGTCAGCACCAACTTACAGTTAGCCCACAAGGGGGTTTGCAGAGGCTATAAATTACTCAAGAGGAGATTGTTCATCTTTCTCTTATGGAGCCATTTGTTGGATTTCAACTGTAAGCCTTTGGGTTGGTAGTGAAATTCCTTACCACTAAGCCACTAGAGCTCCCTTTGAATGATTGTGCTCGACAGAACAGAGGAAGGAGACACTGCATGGTTCAAAATCCAGAAGGGTATCCACTAAGTACATAGTCTGTCTCCATACCTTTTCAATCTATATGCAGAACAGATCATCCAGGATGCTGGGCTGTATGAGGAGGAATGTGGTATCAGGATTGGAGGATGATTAATAAACAGCCTGTGTTATGCAGATGATACAACCCTGTTTGCTCAAACTGAGGAAGACCAGAAGTGCTTGCTACAGAAGGTCAAAGACTGCAGCCTTCAATATGGATTGAAGATCAAAATCAAGAAAACAGATTATCACCACTGGGCCAGTTGGCAACATCATTATGAATAGTGAAGGGACTGAGATTGTTAACAGCTTTACTTTGCTTGGCTCTGCAATTAACACAGTCTTGGTACCAGAGCCAGGAAATCAAGAGACAAATTGCATTGGGAAAGTCAGCTGTCAGGAACCTCTCTAGAGTACTGAAGAGCAATGATGTCAGATTGGAGACTAAGGTGCACCTGATCTAGGCCATAGTCTTCACATTTATGTGCTGTGCATCAGAGAGCTGGACAATGACTTGGGATGATAGAAAGAGAATTGATGCCTTTGAGCTGTGGTGCTGGAGAAGAGTGTTGAATATATCATGGACTGCTAGGAGAACAAACACGTTCATCTTGGAGAGGGTGAAGCCGGAATGCACCTTGGACTAAAAAATTCTGAAGCTTTGTCTGACATAATTTGGCATATTGCAAGGAGGGAGTGTTCCTTGGAGAGGGACATCATATTTGGGAAGGTGGAGGGACAGCGCAAGAGAGGAAGACCCCCGATGAGATGGATCTACTCAGTGACTGGGGAAGTGGGAGTACGTGTGTCAGAGATAGTAAGGTTGGCACAGGATAGAGCAGGGTTTAGGGCCCTTGTACACAGGGTCACTATGAGTTGCAAGTGACCCAGTGGCACAAAACAACAACCCCTAAAAATAAAATTTGTCTTTGAAGAAGTCAGGTGCTTTTTAGAGGCAAGGATGGTGAAACATTGTCTTGTATACATTGAAATATTGTCAGGAGGAGACAGTTCTTGGGAAAGTATATCTTGGAAAAGAAGATGATAAGCAAAGAAGAGGGAAACTGTCAATGATGAGTTGCAACAATGTACTTAAGGCTTAAGATTGTGAAGATAGGAAGGTTTTAATCTGTTTTACATAGGGTTGCCGTGAGTTGGAGCGAACTCAACAGCACCTAACAAAGTTCTCAAATAAGGAGACTTGATATTACCATTTGTCACATGTAGTTTATCTTAACTTTAGATCTAATTTAGACAACTGATGTTTGCTGGTTGTCGTTATCGGAAAGAAAACAGAATTTCAGCTTCTGGTAAGGTGAAAGATAGCAGCACAGACCCTGTTCAGTTAAAACTCTGCTAAGTGACAAAACGACTATGAGATATCATCTCACCCCAGTAAGAATAGCAAAATTTAACAAAACAGCAAGCAACAGATGCTGACGAGGTTGTGGAGAAACTGGAACCCTTATTCACTGTTGGTGGGAGTGTAAAATGGTGCAACCACTGTGGAAAGTGGTGTGGTGCTTTCTCAAGAAGTTGCAAATAAAGATACCATTTGACCCAGCAATTCCACTACTGTGAATATACCCTAAAGAGACCATAACTGACATCCAAGCAGATTTATGCACACCCATGTTTATCGTGGCTTTATTCACAATAGCAAGGAGTTGGAAACAACTCAAGTGCCCATCATCAAATGAATGGATAGAGAAGCTGTGGTATATTCACACAATGGAATATTATGCTGCATTGAAAAACAAGGAACTCATGCAATGTTATTCAAAATGGTTGACCCTGGAGGACATTATGCTGAGTGAAATATCTCAGTCACAAAAGGACAAATACTACATGGTGCCACTGTTGTAGAATGAGACTGACATCAGGGTTGGGGTAAGACTGAGAAAAACTGCATAAATTATGTATACTGCATTGAAACAGATGAGGGAGAGAACAGTTTAAAATATATGATAGGGTATTATGGTTATCTCAAGAGTCCAGAATTAAAGTTGCATAGTGTAGTGTACTTGGGCGGTGGGGGGTGGGGCACAGGGGGACTGTAATACCAATGAAATAATTTTTCTTTTACTTTTCAAAGAGAGGAGCGAACTGGAGGGGGAGGGGTGGGCAGGGAGAAAAATGCAACAATGAATGAATGGAAATTCAAAATCTCTGTAAATGTTCATTAAAATTAATAAAATAAAATTAAATAAAAAACTCTGCTGAGTGAAATATCTCAGTCACAGAAAGACAAATTCTAAATAAGGATCAATATGGGGCAGAGAGAGAGCAGGAAGAGAGTGGATAGATAATGAATACTACACTGGAATGAGTGAAAGGAAGGAAAATCTGAAGGAAATATTTGATTAGAAATTAAGTGTATAACAATTAACGGCCCAGAACAGGGCACACATTACAAAGAGGATTGGGGAAAGTTGAGTAGGAAAACATACATGAATGAATAAATGAAAACTCATCTTTTTGTGGGCTTTCACTAAAATAAAAAAAATTTAAAACACACCAAAAAAACAAAGAGAACAAATATGGATGATAATTCTGGTAACACCGACAGACTACAGAATTATAAACAGCATAATACAGCTATTTTTATTGGCTGCCTGGTTGGTATGAGAACTCAGGACTATAGTGGTGTCTATGTCAGTAGCTGGCTGATGACCAGAAAGGTGTGATTATCCCTCTTGTTCCCTGTACCTTTTCCAGATTAGAGGAGTGACTTTCCCACTGGCTTTCCCAACCATCAGTACACATTGGGTGACTAGTTGGTTGGCAATGTTCTTCTGGCTCATTCCATCTCCACCTACTGTCAGGAAAAAGAAGGAAAGAAAATGACGAAAGCATAAGGATTATGTGGGACAACGTCTAGAGGAAAAAATGTGCAGTTGGAATACCAAAACAGGAAAACACACACAAAAAATCATTGAAGATTTGCTGGAAGAACTTTTTCCAATATTATGAAAAATTCTTATTGTTGTATACCATAGATAGAGATGGAACTGATTCATAGCTGACTCTCTGGTTTTCAGAGGCAGTTAATTGCAAAGAGAAGATTGCCCATCTTCCTGTGGAACAGCTGGTGGCCTCAAACCACATGCTTTCAGGATTGCAATGCAATTTCTTACCATTAGGCCACCAGAGCTCTAACAGCTAACTTGGCTCCACAGCAACCACTCTTGGTACTAGCAGCCAGGAAATCAAAAGATGAACTGCATTTAGAAAGTCTGCTGTCAGGGACCTCTCTTGAGTACTGAAGAGCAATGATGCCAGTCTAGAGACCAATGTGTGCGTGATCCCGGCCATGATCTTTGCAGTTACTTGCTATGCATCAGAGAGCTGGACAATGTCTAGGGATGATAGAAGGAAAATTGATGCCATTGAGCTGTGTTGCTGGAGAAGAGATTGAATATACCATGGATTGCTAGGAAAACAAACAGGTTTGTTCTGGAGAGGGTTAGACCAGGATTTTCCTTGGAGGCAAGGATTCTGAAGCTTCGTCTGACATACTTTGGGCACATTTCAAGGAGAGACCAGTCCTTGGAGAAGGAAATCATGCTTGGGAGTATAGAGCGACAGTGTAAGAAAGTAAGACCTTCAATGAGCTGGATTGACTCAGTGACTGGGGTAGGGGAGGTAGGTGTGTCAGAGACAATATGGTTGGCACAGGATAGGGCAGGGCTCAGAGCTGTTGTACATAGGGTCGCTATGAGTCATGAGTGACTTAATGGCACATAACAACAATGAAAAATTAGAAAATATACATTCAAGAAGTTGAGCAAACCACAATCAAGATAGGCCCCAAAAGAAAAACACTAAGACATATCATCATAAAATTATCCAGAATCAAAGACAAAGTAAGAATACTGAAAGCAGCTCACAAAAAAGTTATTATGTATAAAGGAGAACCAGTGAGAATAAGGTCTGATTTTCCAGCAGAAACCTTGCAGTCGTGGAAGCCCAAAATCTCTGTAAATGTTTATGAAAATTAATAAAATATAATTATAGGAAAAAAAAAACAAACAAACAAAAAAAAACAAGAGCAACATACTAAAATCAATTGGATTTCTCTACAGTGCCAAAAAGAATACAGAACTGGAGTTACTTATATAGGAGAATCAATAAGACTAAACATGTATTTCTCAACTGGAAAAAAAAAAAAAGAAGGCAATGGGATGATATATCTAAAACTCTGATAGAAATTTCCAGACAAGACTTCTAGGTCCAGCACAATATTCCTTCAAATATGATGGTGAAATAAACATTTCCAGATAAACAGAAACAAATGAATTTGTGAAAACTATAAATCAACCTTTTAAAAAGTGCTTAAGGTCAATGGTGACAGACAATAATAACCCAAAATTAACATACAAGACAACATTATTCAGAAACTGACCTGGACATAGTAAAATGAAAGACAACGTACGGTAAGAGGTTGTGCAGACTATGTAATTAATTAACTAGACTAATCTATTGTAACTAATGTAATAGAAAGTACACAAAATAAAATTATCATTACAATCCTATAAAGCCTTTGAGCTGTGATTTTGGAGAAGAACACTGAACATCCTATGGATGGCCAAGAGAATGAACAGATATACCTTGGAGAGGTTAAAGCTAGAGTGCTCTTTGGAAGCAAGAATGATGAAGCTTCACCTCACATACTTCGGGCATGTCGCTTCTACGAGGGACTATTCCTTGTACAAGGACATGATGCTGGGAAGGGTGGAGGACTGGTGAAGGAGAGGAAGACCTTCACTAGGTATGTTGACATGGTGACTGCTGGAATGGGCTCTTGTGTGTCAGGAAGTATGGCCCACAATAGAGCAGGGTTCAGATCTTTTGTTCACAGGGTTGCTATGAGTCGTACTCAACATGAGGACACCTAACAACAACATCAATAAAAGAAAATGTATATGGTGAAATGTAGAACCAATATGATTTATAAAATGCTCAGATAAAAAAGAGAACAAATAAAAACCCAAACTGATTGAGAAATAGAAATACACAAAATATAATAAACATGTGACTAAATAAATAGTCATGGGTATCTGTCTGTAAATGAGGAAAAATACAATGCAAAGAGGGATTAAGAAGTGTGGTTAGGGAAATGTAGTTAATAGAGTTGCCAGGAGTTAGAAATCTCCTGTAATGAGGTTTTTTCACCTCAACTCTAGCCGTTCCTTTTGTTGAGGACTGGGCAAGGAGTAGAAATGAATGAATATATTCTGATTGATAATAGACTTTGGATTTTTTGGTTCTTTTTGATTTTTTGGTATTCTAGCATAAATTAATTACTTTTATTTTATTCTAGAAATCCTACATATTTTATAATCGGCCACTCAGTTCTGAGATTAAGGCTGGTAAGCAAGAGGAATATTCTCAAAGTCTCCTGAAACAAATTAATAACCAACGGGAAAAAGAAACAAAGCAAAGACAAAATGAAGACTTGATGGACCACCTAGAGCAAGTGCAGCTCACAGAGGAGTGAGTCCAGCTAGATGTGCTCTGAAAAGAAAATCTCAGAATTTTTATTTGAATGAATGCTATGATTGATGTAGTATTGGTAGTTTTCTTAGCACCACCTAACCAACCAACCAACCAACCAACCAACCAACCAACCAACCAACCAACCAAATCAACCAGAGCATCCCAGCTAGCAATTCATCCAAGAGCATAATGTTAGTTAGAACAATCCATCACATTATAATTATGGTTATAATAATGACTGCTAATCTTTACTGTTACTTCTGAGTATCATTTTATATTGTCTTACTAATATTGAGGGAGTTCTAGCAGCCTAGCGGTAAGAAGTTGTGCTGCCACCCCAAAGGTATACAGTTTGTATTCACCAGATGCTCCACAGAGGAAAGAGGAACAGTCTCCTCCCATGCAATTTACAGCATCTGAGAATTCACTGGATGGCCACCTGTGGGCCAATTCTGATTCCATGGCACATGACAACCTACTAATGTGGAGGAAGGGTCTTATCTTCAGCTGGCATCATTATCAGCTATTCAAGGTGATCTCCAGGCATTGCTAAAGGTTTAGTAAAATTGTATATTTCCTGTGGAACCCAAGGGAAGAATGTATTAGAGACCCAAGGGATCTGTAATCAGAGAATAAAAAGCCTTGTAAAGTGAATTTCCTCCTGCTCATACTCACAGCTCCCTAGTTGACATTGTCTTTATCCAAGCTTAGGTTTACATAAATGTTCATCTCAAAGCAAGATTCTTATGAAAGAGATATTTATTAGTCTGCTTGGGCTATCTAAGGCCTGAGATAGGACCAGGGCCACACAATTCTAATGTGCCTAACGGGACCCACACTTCTGGGTCAGGAAAACAGCTAAGTAATCTATTATAGTGTGAACAGAGATTCCTAAAACAAATAATAAGCTTTTCTGTGACCCAATCATTTTCTCTCTGTGAAATTCTATGTTCTATTATATACCTTTATAAATCATATAGAATCCTTGAATATTAAAAGGCAATAGAATCTAAATGTCATAAAGGAGATCACTTTGTAAGTACGGATGAGTCACTTTCTAGAATGAATTAGTTTTTTGCATTATACTTTTTACAAAGAAGTTTTAATTGATATTTTAACAAAAGTTTACAGAAAACTTGGATTTCCATTCATTGACTGTTGCACATTTTCCTGCTTTCTACCTCCATTTTACTTTTTGCTTTAAAAAGATTATTTCATTATTGCATAATTCCCTCCTCCCCTCCATTCTACCTTGCTATGTGCTACTCATTCTGGACTGTTGCCCTGCAAATAATACCCAATCATATATTATTTTCAGACAGCTCTTTACCTCGTCTATTTAAATGCAATGTTCATTATTTATCCCCTTTTAGTCTCCTCTCAACTCCCATGTCAGTCCTGTTTTATAACAGTGGCAATATCCAGTATTTGTCAAAAGTATTTGTGGCTAAGATATTTCACTCAGCATAATGTCCTCCAGGGTCACCCATTTTGTAGAATATTTTATGAGTTCCTTGTTTTTCAGCACTGCATAGTATTCCTTTGTGTGAATGAATATACCACAGCTTCTTTATCCATTCATTTGTTGATGGGGGCTTTATACATGTTTTAAAACTTTGTTTCAAATTTTATTCTCAGGCTTCTTTAACTTATTTAGCTGAAAAGAATGAATAATATTTAAGCAGAAACTGAAAAGAGTTGCAAGGTCCAAAAGGCTTGTTGGGCTTAAACATATGAGAGATCTAGATTTTATCAGATCCATATACAAAACAATTTTAAAAAACAGTCATAATATAAAATAGCAGCTCCAAGTAACTTCGTCACATTTTATCTTCTTCAGAAGTTGACTCAAATCAGTTGGCTTCATTCTTTGAAGCCTCATCAGAATTCTCCACAAGATCTGGAACTTCATCATCACCATCTTCTCCAGCAGCAAGTGGTGCCTGTCCATCCACAGATGGTTTGGGCAGGACGTCAGCCAGTTGTCTTAAACTGCTCAGACTATCTGTACCACGCTGGTTTAAGATGCTGGTTAACATTTCTGTCAGCTGCTTTGTCTCAGCATGGCCAGTAATGGTGAAAGTATTTGCTGCCAGAAATGCCTGAACTGATTATTTGAGTGGATCACCGTCCCTTGATTTGTAAACATATTCACCTCTTCAATACCTGAGATACTGCTTACCCCTAATTTCTTTAAGGAGAACTGAAGTTTTTTGTCATCCTCTGTAGCTGTTCTATGAACCATCTTCTTTCTATGTGTGGTTCCTTTTCCACCAATGTGCACTCGTGCCTGCAGTTTGGCACGTTTCTCTTGATTCATGATCGTTTCTTTCATCTTGTCAGAGAGGAAATGGGGCTGCACAGGGGACGAGGGCTGGCACTCAGGGGATCTTTTGGCAGACCAGTGGAGATAGGCTGTACACGAGGGGATGCAAGATGGCAGCTTGCTTTAAACCTTTTTTAAAGCATGTAGAATCGAGATGTGTGCTTTGTCTTATTAGTATTTTGTGTGGATAATTTGGTTGATCACCTGCATATACCTGTCTTGTATGTGCAGTGTTTAACATATTGACACTAGCCCATGAATTCATACTCCACTTTAAGTATTATAAAAAAAACACATTTTTTTTTTATAAAGAGTTCTGGTAGCCTAGTGGATAAGAAGTTGGGCTGCCAACCCAAAGTTAAATGGATCACATTCACCAACTTCTCTGAGGGAGAAAACTCTCTTCTAAATTTATAGTTTCTGGAAATCCTCTGAAAGGTTAATTATGAGTCAGTTTTGACTTGACAACAGTAGATTTGGGTTTTGGTTTGTTGGTTTGGGGTTTTTTTTTTAAGCAATTTTAGATTTACAGAAAAATTATATAGAAAATACAGAATTCCATTTACTTCCTCTCCTCGTGAAGGCTGTTTTGACCTATTAATATCTTGCATTTGTGTGCAATATTTTTTGCAACTGATGAACCAACATTGATACATTATTATTAAATAAGGGAGCTCTGATGGTAAGAGGCCTAATGGTAAGAAGCTGCACTGCAATCCCAAAGGCATTGTAGTTCAAATCCCCCACTGTAGAAGGATGGGTAGTCTCTTCCCATGTGATTAATTGCCTCTGGAGGGTCCTCTGTGAGTCAGTTTTGACTTGATGGCCCACAACAAACAAAATGATTATTAACTAAGGGGTCCAGTGGTAGAATTCTTAGCTTCCATTCAAGAATTTTCATTCCAGATTTGATTCCTTCCTAGATTTGATTCCTGGCCAATCCACCTCAAGTGGGGTCAACATTTGTCTGTCATTGGAGGTTTAGGTGTTGTTGAACAAGTTTCAAAGGAAACTTCCAAGGCAAGACAGACAGAAGAGAAGAACTTGTGATCCAATTCCTAAACTCAGCCCATGAAACCCTACAGGTTACAGTGTTCTGACCCTGTTGTTTGTTGGCTTGCTATGAGTCAACCAACTTAATGGCAGCTGAAAGCAGAAGAATATTATTAAGTATAGTCCATAATTCCCAGTAGGGTTCCCACTTGTGTTGTACCACCCTATGGCTTTTCACAAATGTGCAATGTAATATATGCCATCATCTTAAAAATGTGTGCCCTCCCTAGTCATTCTTCTTCCTATCTTCTAACATCCTATGGATTCAAATGATGTTTCCTTTTAGAAATGAAATCTACCAGAAGGAAATATCAATTTGTGTTGACCTGACTTTTATTCTTATAAAAATAAGAAAGTGTTTATAAACACTCACTAGACATATTTTGATGATGTTAATCACTAAAGATTCTATTCAAACTCTGCCTCTTCCTTCTTAACTGCCATTCTCAACCACCAGACTTGCTGCACAAAGAGCCAAATATCTGAAAGATAAGATGGAAGAATCTCAGTGTTACAAGAGAGCTTTGGATGCACAGGTAAAGGAAAGTTATTATTTTTAAATTACCTGGTCCTCCAATCCCATTCTGAAAAGACATATAGTTACTGTAATGCTATGAATGCCATCATGTGTTAGCCATTTAGTGAGGTAGTCGCTGTTTTCTTGCTAAAGATGTTGGTACTTTACTATACTACAGAGTTGTGTACAAAATTTATTTTCTGGTATAATCTTCATTATGGACATTCCTGTTTCAGATAAAGAAAAAATCCCAGCTACTCCCTGCTTTTGAGCCAGACTCTTCAGAACCCCTTTTTGGTAAGGAAGACGGTGAAGTGATGATGGGGAAATTTGATCAAGAACAGAATTGCATGAAGCACCAGTTGGAGGCAGCTGCGAGCCGCAAGAGGAGGGACATTCTGAACCACCTGGTAGATCAGAGACAGGATTTGCAAATGTTGGAAAGGACGCGCAAAAAGTAAGAACATATCTCATCTTTCCTCTCTCTTCTCCTTTTCTTTCTAGGTCCTCCCTTCTTTCCTCTTCTTCCTTTCCCTCTCCTTTTCATTTCTATCTCTTTCATAGTAGCACCTTAATGAGCTATGTACGAGACATTATTCTTAGTTCACTATATGCTTCACCTTGTTTCATTCTCACAATTCATGCTATGAAAAAGTTTATCCTCATACAAGCACACCCACCCACACACTCATATCCACACCCCCCCACACCTACACTCACACCCACACACACCCTCGTGCCCTTTTTCTTCCTTTAGCTATCTCCCCATATTTACTCTCTACTTTTAAGGATAACTCCTCAAAAAGTCCACATCAGGCACTATCCAATACAACTACAATGTGAGTCATACAGGTACTTTAAACTTTTCTAATAACCCCAAAAAGAAAAGTAAACAGAAACAGATAAAAATTATTTTTCAGTTTGAACTTAAAAAATAAGGAAACAATTTGAACTTGATAATTTTATTAATTAAGGGATTAGTATACTTCTATACTATTTAATTCCCTGTACTTTTGAGGGAGCTCTGTTGGCTTAGTGGTAAAGATTTGTGCTGCCAGCCCAAAGGCCCGGAAGTTCAAGTCCACCCAGCAGCTCCAACAAGAAAGATGGCCATTGTCCTCCAGTGCAGTTTATTATCTCTGAAAATCTGCTGGAGGGTCAGTTATGAGTTGGTTCTGACTCTGCAACACCTAACTACGTACTTATTTAGTCACCACACTCTTTTTGTATTTTTATTTTTTAACTTTTATTTATTTTGTTAATGAGAATATGAATGCAAAAGATAGACTAATTCAACAGGTTCATGACATTGAGTTGAGTAGCAGTTCTCACCATCATTTTCTGAGTTGTATCTCCCTCATTGACATAAACTAATATTTCAAGCTGACAATAGTCAATTCAATCCAATAGAGACAGTTCTGAAAGAGTATAAAACACAAAGCAGACCTTTTACTCAAGCCAATTAAAAATATGGTTCTGTTTTTAGGTGACTTCAGGAACTATTTTTGTTTAAGGTTTAAAGATTAGTTTGGGACAATAGTTTTAGGAATTCTGGAACCAGAAAAAGTCCATAGAAATGTTAAATTCTGTTATGTATTTTCTTCTTTTCCATCAAGTTTCTTCTGGAATTCTTGATCAAAATATTTAGTAATGAAAGCTTTTCTAGCCTCATGGCAAAGCAGGCATGGAGACAGTTTTGTGTCCTCTTTGTTTTGACTTTCCTCTTCCTCTATTGATGAATAGTGACCAGTTATTGTGCCTTGGATGGATATTTGTAAGCTTTGCAGTGAACTATGAGCTGTGTAGTGAACTGGGAGGCAGACAGAGCACTAAACATTTCTTTGCCATCTTGTTCTTGTTGTTAGGTACCATCAAGTTAGCTCAGACTCACAGTGACTCTGTTCCACAGAATGAAACTCTGTACCGTCCTCCATAATCTCTACTGTGCTCAAGCAGATTGCTCCAGTCGCTGTGTCAATCTGTCTTGTTGAGGGTTTCTTTCTTTCTTTCTTTCTTTTTTTTTCTGACCTTCTACTTTTCTAAGCATGATGTCCCTCCTCATAATATGCCCAGGCTATGTAAGACAAAGTCTCACACTCCTCTCTTTTCCGTCTGAAAACACTCTGGATTTATATTTTCCAGGATAAATAGTGGGAGTGAAATGGTATCTCATTGTGGTTTTGATTTGTATCTCTGATGGCTAGTGACGTGCCAGTGACGTGGAACACCATCTTTTCATGTGATTGGTGGCCATTTGAATGTCTTTGGTAAAATGCCTATCCAAGACCTTAGGCTATTTTAGCATTGGGTTGTTTTCTAGTTATTGGCTGTATCTCTATATTTGTCACTGGATTCTTATTGGTTATATGGCTTATGTAGATATTATAGTCAGTTGCTAGGCTATTAGCAATGTCTTTTTTATTTATTGGAAAGATGTTTATTTAGTAACAGCAACACTTAATATTTCAAGAAAAAGACAGATTGACCTTCCTCAAAACAGAATTAAGGAGTTCTCTATTATTCTCAGGTTAGATCTGAATCTATCATAGGTTGTTGTTGTTTATGTGCCATTGAATCCTTTGAGACTCATAGTGATCCTACGTAAAGCAGCCCTAAGTCCTTCTCTGTCCTATGCCTACCTCATTGTCTTTGACATCCCCACCTCTATTACCTCAGACACTGAGTCAATCCACCTCATAGAGGATCTTCCTCTCCTGCGCTGTCTGTCCACCCTCCCAAGCATGATGTCTTTCTCCAAGGACTAATCCCTCCTTGCAACATGCCCAAAGTATGTCAGATGAAGCTTCAGAATCATTGCCTCCAAGGATTAACCCTCTCCTGGACGAACCTGTTTTTTCACCTAGCAGTCCATCTTATACTCTTCTTTAATAAGTGTCAAAGTATACAAAAAATACTTTGAGGAAGATATCCATATTATTCTAAAACCAAAGTATTTTAAAGTAAAAAACAATTTAAAGATAGTAATCTTTTACAACAAAATACCCTGTTGTAGCTTTAGAATTATTACTACTTAAAAGATCAATATATTTATGTAAAATGCTTGTGAACAGTACAAACACTTAAAATTTATTCGGCTTCAGATTTGGGGGAGCAGTGTAAATAACCCCCCCCCACATTTATCTGAGCAATATGTCCAATACCCTTCAAGGATCTTCTGTTACAGCATTCGTCAAAACCCAGTGATCCAGTTCTCAAGTGCTGATGGCAATGCTTATGTTCTGCAAAGTTCTGAAAGAAGGTCATCATCTATAGCAAATACTAACATCCCTTAATTATTTTGCACCACATCCAATATTCCCTGAAAGAGATTTTTATACAAAAGTTGAAAATGTTCATTTTCTATCACAAAGTGAATTTACTTTTAAAATGGAGTATATACAGTTGCTTTCTTTTCACCAATATTTACAAGGGGTTGGTGTATGTGTAAATCTGCTCATATATGTAATACTTACATATATACCAAACATCTTCATTGATTCCACATCAGTTCTTAAGTTTGATATTAAAATATCTGATCATAGACCTTCCGAATGGCATCCACAGTGTTTAGTAGTGTACATATTTTATGTAGATAATATGTACATTATATAGGTTTTCGTCAACCACATAACATTAGCTTCCTTGAGTTGTGTCTTACATGCACATGTGAGTTGTTTGCATCTGCGGATTATATGTAACAACACAGTAGGCTTACCCCCCCATTTTTCTCAGATCCTTTAAAATATTCTATCTGTGTACTAGCAATGTCTTTTGATGAACAAAAGTTTTACATTTTTATGAGGCCCTATTATTTTGTCTTCTGCTACTTGTGCTTTTTGTTGTTATATTAGATTGTTCATTATTGAAAACTAGGCCAGATACGATTTTGTTGTTCTAAAAACTGGATGGCTTTGGTTTACATGTTAAGTTCTTAATTTGAAATAGTAGAGAACTTATTTTTTATATGAGAGTTTGTTTAGAACTTTTTTGGTTTTTTTTAAATTTATTTTTTTAAATAATTTTAATGAACATTTACAGAGAATTTGGATTTCCATTCATTCATTGCTGCACTTCTCCTCTGCCCAGCCCTCTCCCCCCGCCCCCCAGTTTGCTCCTTTCTTTCAAAAGTAAAAGAAAGACTCCCTCCCTGGTACACAATCCCCCCCGCACCCCTCCCACCGCCCCAAGTACATTCCACTATGCAACCTTAATTGTGGATTCTTGTTAGAACTTATTTTTTTTTTATATGAGTTTGTGGTGTTTTGTTTTTTTTTTTAATAGGGGGATCCTAACACCTAGAGATTATTGCTGTTTGTAACACAAAGTTCTTACACACAAACTCAAAACCAAACCTGATGTCATCCAGTTGATTTTCACTTATAGATATCTATAGAACAGAGTAAGGGTTCCCTCATAGGGTTTCCAGAACTGCAGTGTTTATGCAAACAGACCACTACATGTTTCTTCTGTGGAATGGCTGGTGGTTTTGAACCGCTAACCTTTTTAGTCAGTGGTCAAACACTTACCACTGTGCCACAAAGGCTCCTTTAAAGTCTTTCAGAGTAGATGAAATGAAGTCACATTTAGGGAATTTGTTCTTAGGCAATAAAAAATGTGAAGTAAGTTTAGCAGGATTACCTGTAGTGGTGACTGTGTGTGTAGAGACCCGTGACAGAAACACACAAAGAATACTAAGATACTGTCTTTGAAGAGAGCTGTTACGTTATGCTGTAGTAATGTTTTGGCTGATATAACCTTCACCTAACACTTCTTTTAAAACAAAATTTATTCTCACTGTTAGGGCATTTCTTTCATTTTTTACTGTAATCACTTCTATCTCCTTCTCCCTTCCCTGCCTTGCTTATTTGCATGCTTATTTTCTTTCTTCTGTAAAGTGCTGGACTGTGAGTTGAGTTTTGACACATAAGAGGTTGGAATGCAAGGAAAGGATTATGTTTTGTAGGAAGTCCATGGAGAAAATTCTTCATGCGTTACATTAGCCTCAAAGGAAATCAGTGGCTTTAAAAGCAGTAGTTGTTATTTGGAGAATATGTCCATCCTGCTAAGTTAAACTAGGGAACTCTAGTGAGGTAGGCTGTAGTCAGTAGAGCTCTTAACCCAAAGGCGGTGCCTCTCTGGCACTTTGAGCTTACCAACCACTCAAAGGGACAGATGGACATCTGTGTGATCTACAGCCTACTGAAGGAATCCAAGGGAGGGGCAGCTATGAATTGGTTCAATGGCAATGAGAGGAGAGAGTTAAATTGTTATTGAAGAAAAAAGACTGTAGGTCATAAATTATTTCAGAACTAGAATTCCCATTATGTTTTAATGATGTTCATACCTTTTTCTATATTTCTAAGTGGTTTCAGGTTTTCTGTTTAATGTAATATAAAAGGAATGAGGCTTCTGAGGTTAGTGCTTGCTCTTACTGGTATTACGAGTGGAATCATACTGTTCTGTTCTTTCTAGATACTTGGAAGACAAGACTGCTGAATTGGAACGAGTAAACAAACTCAAGCAATGCTTAAAGAAGGACTGGGAAAGGAGTGCTGAGATCAAGAGGCAACGGGACCTAGAGGAGAAGGCTTTTGAGAGGTAATATCTAATTTGAGCCAATTTTTTAAAGTTTTATTTTATAAATAAAATAAGATTATGCCCTTCATTTTCTGGGGGCCACTAGCTTCTTGAATTTTTAAGTTGTAAATTATCTTTGGGGGTATTAACTGTTAATCAGCAGTGTGTTCTCAACAGTTGTGTCAGAAAAGTAGAGGTTCATCCACATGGCAAAGCATCAAACACAGATGCTTTGGAGCTGCTATTCCCTGCCTGTGTGACCTCGGGTAAATGATCTGTTTCCTGTGGGTTTGACTCAGAGGGTGAGCGGAGGTCAGACTTGTAGGAAAACCTCTCATCAGGTTCTTTATTTACTGAAGACTGAGGCGATCTTTTTTTTTTTTTAAAATCTATATATCTTAACAATGTGCTGACTTTAGAGCTGGGCCTCTAGCTTTTGATGACTGCTTTCCTCCTCTTCTCCTCAGGGCTTCAAACAAGCTGTTCCTCCTGGACCAGTGTGAGTCACACAAGCGCTGCAAGCAGTGTCAGAGGCGTGTGTCCAACGTGGGCCAGAGCAACCTGTGGCCCCTGAACAAGCACCTTTATGGCTCCTGGTTGCTTGTGTAAAACTCAAAGTTTGGACTTGGGTTTCCTGGGGAAAGTTTTTATCTTTTAGAAATTTAGGATGATTATGAACTGCATATGTATAACTCAGAGGGAAAAAGGATTATATAAGTTTGCAGCTTTCAGGGTTATGTTTTAACCTCTTATTGAGTTAATGCAGCCAGATTATCCTTTTGCGTTTGTCTCTCCCCCACTAACTCAACTTGTATCAGATGGAAGTGAAATTGTCAGAGTGGTGATGAAGACTAGAATGCTTCTACCACAGGAGTTGGGAATGTGAGAGCTTCATCCTGGCTCCTGGCCTTTGGATTCTCAGGCTGAGGTGTCACTGGCCCAGCCCTGCCATTTCCTCTGTGGCTTTGTGTAAGAAACGTCATTTTCCCCCTCCTTACCTTTAACGAGTATTTTCTAAATAAATATTTGCTAAGTGCATGATGCATGCTTATTCCTTATGGAAAGTTTTACTATTCTTTCCTGAATGGCCCCCGGCTTTTCTGAAGACATAAGTATGTGTGACATCATAGAGATAGGTTGAGTTTTTTGCCTCGAGTGTTCAGACCGGTGTTTCCTGAGCTTTCCAGTTGATAACACACCTGCAATATCACTCCCTTGTGATCTCCTAGTCAGTCATTATGTTGTCCAAACACTTCTACACCATGGTCGAGTGTTTATTCACATGTGTATTCTGAGAGAGCTTAGCTTGCTTGGCAGGTGCCACTGTCTTTCATTGGTTCACCTTCATCCAGTCTTAAATATGTGCTGTTTATTGTTGCGACTGTTGTTAGGTGCCTTCATAATGACCTTCATTGCTTCACATTCATTCATTCTTATGTATGTGCTGTTGCTGTTAGATGTCATCAAGATGACCCTTTACTCACCAGAACACAAGATTGCTGGATATCTGCGATCACTGTTATGTTACGAACACTGTGTCAGTCTGGCTCACTGAGGGTCTTCCTGCTCTCTGCTGACCCTCTTCTTCTCAAGCATGATGCCCTTCTGAAAGCATGCCCAAAGTATCTAAGACAAAAATCTCACCATATTGGCTTTCCAAGAGCATTCTAGCTGTACTTCTTCCAACACAGATTTCTTGTTTTTCAGGAAGTCCATGGTATATCCAATACTCTTTCCTAATACTTAAATTCAAAGGCATGAATAATTCTTTAGTGTCTGTTATTCATTGTCAAGCATATATGGTGACTAAAGATACCATGGTTTAAGTCAAATATATTGATCTTTTGCACCAGATTTGCCCAATGTAATGTTTCACTGGATTTATTGACTGCTGCTTACTGTAATTTTATGAATTATACTTTTTTAAAAAAAAATGGAAAGTTATAGAATTCTCTGGAGCCTCTTCAACTTTTTTATGTTGCCACCTCCTCTGGCACGATCAGAAGATCAATTCATGGAGATTCAGTCATCATCAACCAATGTAGAAAATAATAACCCTTTGATGGGACTCTTAACTGACCTGACATCTATACTGTTACACTCTTAGAGTACTTTTTGTCTCTAATATATAAAACTGATAACCAAATTTTTTGTTAGCCCAACCCTTTTAGCTAAACTATGTCTCCTCCTAAATAAATATTAATTACTAGCAGTAAGTTTGGTTATTCCTAGAATTACAACACTTCCCGACCAGCCTATAGTATTTCCTGTTCTTTCAGTAGATGGAAAATATGGAGATGCTTTCTAAAAAATACGCATTATAGTTTGTACACAATTAGGCTATTACTAGACCTCTGAGGCCATACATTAAGAACACGTGCTTTAGATGTCTTTGCTACATCATTACTGCAAGCTTACCGATTGTCATGAAGTTGATTCTGATGCATAGTGAAACTTCGTCAGGTTTCCAGGGCTGGCACAGTGACTATAGCAATGGGCTTGAGCATATCAGAGATTGTGAGACTGGGGCAAGAGAATACAATCTGGGCATACTTGTTCTGAGACAAATTTGTTCACCTGGCAGCCCATAATATATTTCATATTCTTCTCCAATACAATAATTTAAAGAATAAAATTTTTCTCTGATCTTTTTAATTCATTGTCCAGCTTTTGCACATATACAAGTAACTCTCAATAGGCATACTTTAGTCTTCAAAGTGCTATCTTTGCTTTTTAACAATTTAAAGAAGTCTTTTGCAGCAGATTTGGCCAATGCAATCTTGGTTAAAAGCAGTGAATATCAGAAAGATGTTTACTTGTGTTTTATTTACTATGCAAATGCTTTTGATTATGAGTATCACAGAAATTGTAGATAATATTGAGTAGAAAAGAAATTACAAAACCTGTTATCATGCTCATGTGGAACCTGTACACAGAATGAAAGTTGTTTCAGGTTGCTCTTGCACTTATCCTGCTCCAGTCCTGGAACCATTCTTTTCTCCAATGAGCTTTGGTTCCTATTAATGGAGAATGGTATTAAGCAATCATTACCTGGGCTCTAGATGTGCAGCTGGGATGTCATTACTTCAGGACTTCCTTTTGTTTTCTGAAGATGGATTAGCAATCTTTCTCACACATACATAAATATATTTACATCTCTATTTCTATTGACTCTATACTGACACTACTTTTTATCCCAAATCCTAGTTTATTTTTTCCTTCCATATTTGTATGCTCCATCTAACAATAAAAGTGTAATTTACATTATATAGAATGCAGTCTTAGGTAAACCTTCAGGTTTGATCACCCTGCTGTCTTCTTGTGCCCTATTTTGCATGGACATTTGTGCCAGGCTGCTACTGTGGAGAGGAGTACTGAATATACCATGCACTATCAAAAGAATAAATTAGTGTCTTGGAGGAAATACAACCAGGGTGGATAATGTTTGACTTTAAAAAAAATTATTTAACAACCAAAATAATAGAAAGAGTGTTATAATCATATAGCAGGGTGGTTCCCAGGACCAGAATTGCTGGATTAAAACTTCAGTTCTGCTGTTATTAATGGAACACTGCATGGTTTAAAATCAGGAAGGGTATGCCTCAGGATTGTTGACTTTCTGCATTATCTATTCAATCTGTATGCTGAGCAAATGATTTGAGGAGCTGGACTACACAAAGAACAATGTGCATCAGAATTGCACCTGAAGCACTTGCTGCAGAAGATCAAAGAGTACAGCCCTCAATATAGATTACATCTCAACACTAAGAAAACAGAAATCCTCACTACTGGACCAATAGAAAACATCATGATAGATGAAGATTGACATTGCCAAGGTGTGGTGTTAAGGGTTTATTGTCCAAAATGCCTTCCTTAACCATTGACTTAATTTGCCATGTGGAAGGGTGGGTATATGCAACTAGGCTATCCACAACAGTTTGGCTAGTTTTACCAATCCAAAAGGGGATCTGGCTAGTCTCAGCATTAAATTGTGCAAATCCAGCAGCAGAAGAGAAGGAATATCACTGCCAGCAAAGCAGCAGCAAAAGATTGTAATTCATCCTTTAGGACCAGAGATTTGCCCCAGCTAGAGGCTTATGGGAGCAATAGTCCAAGCAGCTAGAGAACCAGAGACCTGACATGAGAGAGAGAGGGCCTTGGGACTGCTACACCACTGGACCAGAGTTAAGAGGCGTTTGTTAGAGGACTCAGGGACAGGGCAGGAGGAGAGCCAATACTGGCAGGACTGAGAACTTTGTAATGGTGGCCCACAGCTGTGAGGCTCAAGGCCTGCAAGCACATTCTGGAAATGGTCCTGTCTATAGTCTGCTATTGTTGTTGCTATGTGCCATTGAGACACCCGCAACTCATAGCAACCCTATGCATGTTAGCTCTGAACTCTGCCCTATCCTGAGTTAATCTCATCGTCTCTGACAGACCTAATCCCATTTCTCCAGTCACTTAGACAATCCATCTCATCCTGGGTCTTCCTCTCCTGCATTGCCCCTCTCCAAGGTCTAGCCCCTCCTGGCCATGTACCTGAAGTATGTGAGATGGAGCTTTGAAATTCTTGCCTCCAGGGAGCAGCCTGGTTTTACCCTCTCCAGGACAGACCTGTTTGTTCTCCTGGCAGTCCACGGTATGCTCAACACTATTCTCCACCACCGCAACTCAAAGGCATCTATCTTTCTATCCTAATATTGTCCAGTTCTCTAATGCATAGCAAATAATTGTGAAGACCATGACCTAGATCAGATGCACCTTAGTTTCCAGACTAAGCATATACTTTTTATAAGAAACATAAACGGCAACTATACACACGAACTTCACCTAATGGTCTACATTGGAATTAGAATACATCTGCAGAAGAAATCTCTCTAGAGAAGCTCAATATCAGCTGTGAAAATTAGGCCAGGTGCTGATTGTGGAACAGACCATCAACTACTCATATGTGAATTCAAACTGAAGCTAAAGAAAATTCAATCCAATTCACAAGAACCAAAGTTTGACCTCATGTTTATCCCACCAGAATTTAAAGACTATCTAAGGAACAGGTTTGAAGCCTTAAGAGACATTGGTCACAGATAAGAAATCACTGTATCGGAAGGAATTGGCAGACACAGAATTTATGGTGCTGAAGGAAGAAGTTCAGGCTGTTTTGAAGGAAATAGAAAAATATAAGGCCCCAGGAATATATGGTATACCAATTGACATATTTCAGCTAACAGATGCTGCCCTGGACGTGCTGACCAAGTTATGCCAAGAAATCTGGAGAACAATCACTTGGCCAACTGACTGGAAGAGATCTATGTTTGTTTCCATTCCAAAGAAGGGTAAATCAACAGAGTGTGGAAACTATAGAACAATATCATTGATTTCACATGCAAGCAAGATTCTACTGAAGATTATCCAAAAATGACTGGAACAGCACATCAGCAGAGAACTACCAGAAGTCCAGGCTGGGTTTAGAAGGGGTCATGGTACTAGGGATATTGTAGCTAATATTAGATAGATCTTAGCTGAAAGCAGGGAATACCAGGAGAATGTCTGTGTTTCATTGACTATGCAAAGGTGTTTGACTGTGTGGATCATAACAAACTGTGGCTGAC